CGCCCCACCCTGCCCGCCACACTCTCTACGCCCACGGCGTCCCATTACCGACGCCCACCCTGCCGCCACAACTCTCTACGCCCGCGCCGTCGCCATTTACCGACGCCCACCCTGCCGCCCACACTCTCACGCCCACGGACCGTCGCCATTACCGACGCCCACCCTTTGCCGCCACACTCTCACGCCCCACGCCACGTCGCCAATTACCGACGCCCACCCTGCCGCCACACTTCTCTACGCCACTCCGTCACCATTACCGACGCCCACCCTTGCCACCACACTCCTACGCCCCACGGCGGTCGCCACTACCGACGCCCCCACCTGCCGCCCACACTCTCTACGCCCACTCTCACCATTACCGACGCCCACCCTGCCGCCACACGCTTACGCCCGCGCTCTCGCATTACCGACGCCCACCCTCCGCACTCCACACTTCTCTACGCCCACGCCGTCCGCCATTACGACGCCCACCCTGCCGCACACTCTCTACGCCCACGCCGTCCGCCATTACCGACGCCCACCTGCCGCCACATCTCTACGCCCACGGCCGTCGCCATTACCGACGCCCACCCTGCCGCCACACTATCTACGCCCACGCCGTCACCATTACCGACGCCCACCCTGCCGCCACACTCTCTACGCCCAGACCGTCGCCATTACCGACGCCCCCCCTGCCGCCACCGACGCTTCATCACATCACCCTATAGGTCATCTGGAGGAAAGGATGAACGTACTGCATTCTGGCCTTAAACTTTCGAAAATACACTCACTCTGAACAGAACGGAACAGATCGGTTCGTTGCTCTGACGCTTCATGACACAACCCGAAAAGTTGCTAGATTGATTTATGATTGCGGGCGCGTCAACTGATAAGGTCATTAATGCCGTATGTGGGTGCAGGTTTACATCGCGGGAGGTGACGCTGTTTGACGACTTACTCGTGTTTCTACGGGGTTCTCCCTAACCACGTATCTCCCACCAGGGAAGCACCGCCCAGGTGAGACATACTCTAAGCTCCCGGCTGGTGTCCCGGCATGTGTGGTAGTATAGAGCATGTAAATGTGTGTGTGTGAGTAAGAGGTGAGGATACGACAAGGAAGAGGAAAGAAGGTAACACTCGGTGCGTGGCCCGTTTGTTAAGCTACTGTTCCGGCATTCGCCTGGAGTTGATGGGAGGAACTACGAAAAATTACCAATCTGAGCAGCCGGCCTCTAGATTTCTCCACCAGACAGCCGGTGAATTCGAGCTAACTGTGAAACTAGAGTCGAACATACTGTCACCATCAGGACTCGATCCCAAGGCCTCTCGGTGAAAGGCACTGCAGTGACCTCAATTGTGCCTGGAACCACCTAAGGTGGTAATGTTGTCAGGTGCATTTTTAATAAGAAAAACCTGTAGTCACTCACGCACTCTGAACAGGTCAGAAGAGATCGCTCTGGCTGCCTTCCCCACTCCCATCCACGCTACAACCCTTGCTGCCACCCTCTGTATTGTCCTGTAGCCGCCACCGTTGTCACCCCCGCACAAGTTCCCACTAACACTTCATGAGACTACCAACCCGAAAGATGACCAGAAGGAAAGCGATTAAATGACTCGTTACGCTCTGTATTATTTCTAATAACTTTCGGCTACCTTCCCCACTGTAGTTCCAGCAACTGACATGGCTGCCACCACTATAGCCATGCTAGAGCGCAGCAAGATCTTTCTCAAGCCGATGAAGCCGAACATCAAATACTCACAGAAACTAAAAGATAGAATATCACTGAAGACGTGAACCATGTGGAATGCCCATCATATAGTCAGATTTACAGACACATCAAAGATTTATAATTATGAAAAGTAAAATACTTGTGTCTTGATCTTCCGTGTACGATTATTAGTACATTGGCAAGACTAAGGATGAGACGAGAACCAAATTCAGAAGTATTTGGTATAAAATCAAATATTTGGTATCCAAAAAATGTACAGTTTGTAATTTAATAAAAGATGAATCACTCAAACACATAGAAGAGAGTGAGTTGTTTACTCTGATTCGTGGTCATTAAGAAAGAATAAAAGAGAAGTTCTAATGTAAAATACTGTTGGTGAATATAAAACAGTTTTCTGTTATGTTCAAAGATGCTTAAAATTACGATTGGATATTTGTAATGATTAATGAATATTGTTGTAGGTATTTACCTGTAATATAATAAACATACAATACACTCGTCGCTTAGTGAGTTCGCTCTAAACCACTTGAACATTCACCCACTCTGAACAGGACGGAACAGATTGCTGAGGCTGTCTTTCCCACCGCGCGCAATCACCACTATAGTATTACTATATAATCACCAGTAAGTATTCCTCGGCAGAATAATCCTTTAATCCGTTTAATGCGTCTAATATCTCAAAGAATCCTATTTTAGGTTTATACACGATACATATAATGAAAATATAGTTTATTGCAGTTATTTCAGCACAGTGTAAGTTTGACATTTTATTTCTAGGTTATTTATTAATCATAGCTATTGTAAACATTTTCAGAGATTTCCATAGAAACTGACAATAAAAGAACATCTTTCAAATAGGAGAAAATAGTATTACTCAATTTCTCCCAAGTATTACTGCCAAAAACCAATTTCACACGAATATCTTATTTTAAGAAGGTATGTACAATTTTGTTTAGCTGTATTTAGTTAAATAGACCCAAAGTATTGAATGGACAGTGGATCTTAGAAGGATAAGTGAAGGCTAAATTTCTATTAAGGTTTAACGTACTTTGTTTAAAAGGTTTTTTGTATTTTGAAAGTGAAAATTCCATATTTATTGTGAACTTCAACAATCAATTCGATCAGAGAATTTAATTTATTTCTGACTGGGTTTGCTAATGGTACAATACAAATAGTGCTTTCCCTTTCAATCATTTCAATTTTACTCATTTCATTGTACTATCTGCATGCTATTGTTCATTGGGCATATGTTATGAAATACAAAGTTTATGCTGTAATAAGATTAACTTTTAGATAAATGTAAGTAGTAGCAATAAATATCAAATTGAATTTATACTTATATATTATAAAATTTCCAACACTAAATGTCACAATTTGTTTGCTTCATTTTTAAACCCGAATTTCATTTTGAAAAATGTCTGGGTGAAATTATTTGTGTAATATTATTAATGATATGTAAAATAGGTGACATTAACGTATAATATAAATTATTAAATGTATATAGATTTATTGAGAAACTGGAATCAAGAACGGAAATACAACGCATGACGCAAAGTGTTTCAGGAGAGGTCAGTTCTTAACAATAATGGTTTATTAAAAAAAAGTTAACGTTGACATGAAAACTAATAAAATGAGATCTTAGCATGATGGTGCACAAATCATTCACAATTATGCCACACGTGTTAACGTCAAGACAACCATTCACCGATCATGTTTGAATGTCTAAACTATGTTCATTCTTTCAGAAAGATAATGATTTATAAATTTGAAATATAATTCAGATAAAAAACAATGAGTTATCGTTCAACGTCCATATACCATATATTTCTGTGTAGTTTTCAAGACACGTTAATGTGGTAGATTGAAATCCGTGAATATTCACGTTTATATCTCATATTTATATTCAAGTATATATTTTTATTTTGTGATAGTTCCATCGAATAGAATAGCAGCAAGTTTTTGCTATATCGTTTCATATCGTTATTGATGATAGACAACTTCCTATGTCAAAAAAAACTGTACAGGAGAAAAGAAAACTTATTTTGCTGTTAATAATGTTCAGTTGGTCAAGTTTAGGTAATCTACTCTTACTATACAATAGTCAATAATTATTTATTGCAATTTTCTCAAAGGACCTTAGAATAACCTCCGATGTGCCTCTTACCACATGCGAAATATTCTATTATCAATAAATTTTAAAGGTCACAGTGGACGTTTTTTATTGTTTTTGAAGACCACAATTACTAGTTTACTTATCAAACTGAAGAACAAGCAAATTCTGAATTATTAATGTCAAACTGTAAAAAATCCTTTTCATGAGTCGTTGTCCATCATCAACGAAGATATGCTCCTTCGTATCGTTGTGAATGGTGCGACGGTGCCAACGAGCTAGAATATACTGCACAGAGTGGCCGGCACTTATGGTTTCAGCGCTTGTGGCGGACACTCGACGAACTAGGGCCCACCTTTTTATTGCAGTGAAAATACGAGAGGTGCCTGATGGTGGCGTGTAGAAGTTTTCTTCTGAATCGACGTGTTGTTTGTATCATATCTTATTTGTACCTTGTGGTCTTTTATTTTATCTGAATTTAAATTATATTAGTGGTTAGAATAATAATATTCCCAATCCCTTCAGCCCACAAAAATATCATTTTTCAAGTTTCTTGCCTTATTTGTGATCTGTTGCTTGCTTTTTATTGCAATAACATTCACGTGCAGGCTTTATACTATCTACAATAACATATCAACAGCTTCCATTCTTCTGACAATAACCGATGCAGGAAGCAACGTGTTTTTAAAGTTTCTTAATTCATTCTCCTTACATATTGGGATTTCATTTTTAAATTATTGGTTTTTGGTCGTGAAACACAGAGTAAGAGGATTTAAATTAATCACGGCCCGCGCCAACCCGGCCTTAACCAGCGCCAAACGGAATTCTAGAATAATCCAGAGGGCGCTACTTTGACTCAAAACACATGGCTTCAATTTGCTGCAAAGGTGGAGGCGCTTCAGCCACTATATGTATACTTCGAGTTTCAAATAGTGCCCGATGACATTAGGTCATTGTTACATCTCCTGCCTTATGAAATGAAAATTTTAATTAATTCGCGAACGTCCTTCTCAACGGGAGTCGTGGCTTCAGAAATATGCGAACCACTGTTAAAAAGATTCATTTAATAAGGCTGGAGGTACAACAATGGCTTAATGTCATCGGCCGCTGTATGTAAATCGAAGTATATTCTCGCTGGAAGGTCGGTGTCCAGTTCGGAGAGCGGCCTCCGCAGCAGCAGCATGGCGCCAGTGCGGCGGCGGGGTGGGCGTGGCAAGGGCCGGGGCGGGGTGCCCTGTGTGCCTGCGTCGCGCATGGACCGCGGCGTCGCCTTCACCCTGGACTTCCTCACGGAGCTTGTCGGTGATCCCGCCGTGCAGAAGGTAACGCAATGCACATGAGCGTAAGCGATGACAGGCGACGATTAATTGTATTTATTTATTTATTTATTTATTTATTTATTTATTTATTTATTTATTTATTTATTTATTTATTTATTTATTTGAGTTTTTCCGGTGGCGTAGTTTTCGGTGGTTTCTCCGATCAAAGTAATGTCTGATCCAAGAATGCCGGAACTTTTACAAACGGGCCACGAACAGCGCGAGATCTTTTTTTCTCGTTCCATGTCCTACACTTACCCCTACTTTACACGCACTTAAACTTACGTGTTCTACTCCGCCACACGTGTTTGGAGTCCAGTCGGGACCTAATTGTCCTTGCCTGGGGTGGTGTTCTGCTAATGACAGCCTGCCCGGTGGGTGAAAAAGCCCGCGAGCAAACGTACAGTTCGGTGGCGGATCACGCCATCCAGAAGAAGTATAACATCGACACCTCCCGCGTTAAAACATGTACTACACTTACGGCTTTAATGACCTTGGCCGTTGAAGCGTTTAAAAACACCAATTATTCAAAAAAATCAACAATATTTAACTCATGAGGAGTGAAATTACTTCGTTCCCCGTAATGCATCTAGTAAGTTCTAATCACATTGAAACACGTTCGCAAACAAATTAAATAGCCGAATACAACTTTCGTCAAGGGCTGGGTGGAGAGGAGGGTGTAGAGGAAGCTCTCCTTGGAGAATGCTCTCTGAATGTTGCAGTCCACCGTGCTGTCGGTGATGCAGTACGCCATTCGCAAGGGGCTGGCGCGGCGCCGGGGTCGGGACTGGTACCAGCTGCTGTTCCTCGGAGGTCACGGAGAGCCCAGCGACCGAGAGGAGAGCGAAGTCATCAAGACGTCGGGAGGGTGAGACGAAGAGCTTCCCACAGCCAATTTTTTTTTTTTTTTGCTCGACACACGAGAGACTCGAGACTTCACAGCGATTTTCACAAACAAGCAATTATAGGCAGACTAATCTGGTTATGTAAGCTAGAAGACGAGTTCATGGATGACGCCGTTGTGTTCGTCGTAATAGCCCTACAATCATAACACTTCTTTAAGTTGAATTTTTAGTAAGTGTTAGCTATTGGTTTTCAGAGAAAAAAGGGCCTCGAAGAGAGAATTGACAACGCTGTCCCAGTCACAACATAGTCAAGCGCAAAGATTGCTAACGCGGTAGAACAACGCTATTGTGGCTTAGAACGATACTAATGCTTGTCCATTTAAATTTCACAATATGTTGATTTAAGCGCTGTATCAGTTTATATTTAGACTCAATTTTTTGGATCCTTGAATTGCATATCTAAGTCTATATCACGCACGTCATTCACACAGAGTAAACAAAAACAGGAAAAGGGGAATACATTATACAAACTAGTTGTATAGAGAAACAATGATAATAAAAAGCACTGTCTCCCTGGAATTTTACCGTTTGTTAAGAAGTAGTACTTCACCTCAATTTTACTTTCACTACGAATAACATGTATTGTGATAAATACGAAAATCCAGGTTGCATAGTTAATATCGTCCATAGGTAAAACTCGAGGCCTCATTCGTCAAGTTGAAACGATTTTCAAGCCCCCGGTTTTTAGAAAACAGGAATCATCTCAGAGATGAATTGTCTTATTTTCGGGCGCTGCTGGCAGAGGCAGAAGGTAAAAGCAACATGTGTTTATTGCCATACATTTCCGTTGGTATTTTTGCATTGGCCATTCTCAATTTCGTTTTACTTAAATCATGGGTTTGGAAATACGTCGTTGTCTATAGTTATAAGAGGAAACGTGTCGAATTGACCTAAAAAATTATTTGGTTTAAACATTCGCTGAAATTTTTAAATTTCCAAAATCAAGGTAGTTTTGGATAATCTCCGTGGTTGTCTCTGGCGAGGTACGCGTCACATCTTTATACATTTGCAAATACAACCAGTTTATTTATTCTTAATTCGTTTTTTGTCGAGACTTTTTCAGTATTCCTTTATAAAGATATTCGTTGTAATAGGGAAGTTAAAGGATGAGAACCGATAACACAGAGATTCAAAGATATTTTTTGTCCTTCATTAGTCTAAATACTGGCGGGAAAGGAATATTATGATGGTGCATCCGAACTGGAGAAAGTAAGGATACACGTACCTTGCTTACCACCACAAATACCGCCGCCTATGTAGTCTCAATCTCTACCATCGTTAAATTACTATAACTGAGTTAAAAATTATCTGCGACATCAATTGATCTTATGTATTTCACAGTGTGCCACTTGTTAGATTGTTATATATATTCAAAACCATCGTGTCTTGAACTAAACGTCCACGTAGATGCACATTTCCTTTAATGACTCCCTATGTGCCTGAGACCCCATTGTAGCATTTATTGCATACCAGAAGAGAAATGCAAGAATGGTAGGCAAGCTAGAGTAATATCTTAGCTAGTGCATTTTAGGCCTTGCAATGCCAAAGGAGCTTCGTGCCATTTTTTTTTCGAAGAATCAGTAAAACTGTATGAACTCGTATTCTTGGCATACAACCAGAGCCATCACTAGGTAAATGTTACAACTCCTTGGAAAGTATTTGGAAAATTTATCTTTTAATGGTGTATTGACATCGTTTTACATAATACGAGGATTGGGGCAGAGGTCGTGGCAAATTATTTTTTCTAAAAGAAATATCAGATCACATAATTGAATCTGTGATCAGCAACGCAAGGGTGTGTTTTTCTCGAAACCACTTTCGCTCTTCGACCCTATAAGCTACCATCGTCTGTCTCCCTTCAGCAGATGTTCGATAATCTCAGGTGCCACATCGAGCCGCAGACTCGAATGTTGTCCCGTGGGTTGCTGATCACAGGTTGCTACGCGTGCTCGCTTAAACTATTACTGACCGTTTCGTGACTGTCTGTTGCTCGAAAAGGGCTTAATTCATCTCGCACAGCGATAGTCAGACAACGGATTTAGCATTACTCTCTGCTCTAATACAAAGAATCATCTATTGCTGTGAACACACACTATTACTGCATTTCTTTCACGTGACAAATAAAATATGTGATCAAATAATATTTCTTTGAGAAAAACATAGTTGCAATGACTTCTACCCCAACCCTTGTATTCAGATGACAGAATTTTCGTTTCGAAAATGTTGGTTCTTACGGTCGGTTTTACCACCATTAGTTAAAGTTCTAAGTTTGTCTTAAGAATTTTAAGGCAGACTTAGGAGACGTTTCCATTTCACCATCACCTTTCAGGAGAACTTAAACGATAAGTTCGTCTTAAATTTAAGCAAACCTCTCAGGATCGTATTCATGAACATGACTTCAATCAAAGCTTACGTAAGTTAACTTTGAGAGCTCAAGTTGACTATCGAACAAATCGGATTCATAGGCAAAACTCCCATAAAGTAAGCTCTGGTGTAAATGTTTGGGAGATAATTGGAGACCGACTGGAATTTTCAAGTTTACTTCGTAGTTAACGAAATGAGCATTTCAATATTTTGATACATGATTGCCTTCCAAGTAACAATGTTTTTTTAAACTGGTGTTTTATTGTCCCGTATCTACTCTTGCAAGTTTTAAATTCAGTAATATGTTTGCGTTTCCTTTTGCACCTAAACCTTACCATCTTCACAACTTCATTTAATGTTTTTTATATTACATCGTGTAGCTCTTAGCTTTAAAATCGCGTTCTATGTCCCTTCAAGAACTTTTTATCAGTTTGTTGCTCCATTTGTAAATTCATTTTCTATAATAGATATGTACTTTCTCATACATTCGAAATGCACATCTTTCACCAACGATGGAAATTGTACCCTCCTCTCTCTTTACCCCGTTACGAAAAATCACTAAAAATAACCTCTTTGCACCAGAGTACAAAGCAGAACCAACTAGCTGGTTCACGAGGGACCAGCATTGCCAACAAACTCTCGGATGCATTTAAGTTATACTTCACTAAGGATTGGTTCGAAGAGGGTGGTGAAACGACGAACAACAAAGCGCCACTTAAAACGTGTCTTAAAATTAAGTATGACTTTACGAAGTGATACTTAAAAAGTATTTGGTGAAACCGACCGTAAGTGAGTTTGGCTTCGTAAGGCGAAGGCTCATTTCTGTAAAGAGAGATATTCATTTAAGCTCTTCGTCACACAGCAAGTCTCCTGCCCAGGCGTCCCGCACGCCCTCCATCACCAACCTTTCGGAGTCTTCCCCCGACGCAGACGCGGAGGAGCGACAGGAACCAGCAGCGGAGGGAAAGGTAGAGTGCAAAACGTCCCACGTACAGTGCTGTGCAAATTATTAGACTAAAGTATTGTTTCGATTTTTTCTACAAATTTCTTACAAATGTAGCTCTGTACTTGACTATTGAATTTTAGTACTGACCGAAGTGGCTAAGGGCGTAGCTAGCTGACTTCCAACTCAGGAGGCAAGGGTTTAAACCCCTTGCCGGAAATCTTGATCGGGATTTTTGTGGTTTCCTCTCAGTCATTCCCGCAAATACTGAGGTGGTTTTACTGAAAGGCTACGACAGCGAGACCAAAGTTGTTCGACGAATTCGTTAACTACGTACAGTCACGAGGCTTTAGTGAATTCGAGAGATCGCAGCTTCCTGGTTGGAACCCCGGGATCTAATGGCGCCGAGCCAATCATATGTTATATTAAACTTAATTTTTTATATTTGTAATTGAATTTCAATTAAAACGCTACCTACTAATTTGGACAGGACTGTAATGGAGACTCTGCAACTTAACTTTTGTGATTGAGAATCCTCACGGGGGCGGATTTGCAGAGTAGTTGAGTCGGCCGACTGCTCTGCCTGAGTGGAGAATTCAATGGTCAGGCTGCTCCGATAGCTTGTTTCCGTGGTTTTGTTCTATTGATTTTGTATGAACACGTGAAAATAATTTGGAATTTTAGTTGTTTTAAGTATTTAAAAATCGGCAAGAAAATGACAGCAATGTTTGAACTCATTCCAATAATATAAAATATAGTATTTACCTTGCTTTACAAAAAATTATAGAACTATTGTTTTAATAATAATAATAATAATAATAATAATAATAATAATAATAATAATAATAATAATGACGGCCCCATGGCGCAGATGGTTGCGGAAGCCGTCGTATGCGCCGAGGAGGCTGAAGGTAGTCTTCTGTAGGCATGGTCGTATTTTTGATGGTCCCTTCATCCCTCATCATCATCTTAACACCTCATAATTCACAATTGAAGGCTTAACAACCCTGTCTTACCGAGGGATACAGCTTAAAAGCTGATCCTAATAGTTACACAATAGTTACCTAATAGTTAATCGTGTTGCATTGGCAGTAATGTCCAATACGCCAGTAATTATTATTATTATTATTATTATTATTATTATTATTATTATTATTATTGTGCTCCTATAGACGCAGGAGGAGGTGGACAACCGAGGAATAGAGTCCGTACTCTGGCCGCTCCGCAGTAGGCTCAGTGATGAGGAGCGACAACGGGAGCCGGGCGCCCGGCCCCGCCCCGCCTCAGCCCTGACCCGCGCGCGCGCCAAGGCGAAGCGCGGGCGGAGAACCAAAGCGACCGCACGCTCCTAGACGCTCCTCCGCGCGGTGACGAAGAAGTTCTCGAAGAAAGTCTACTCAGTGTCTCAAGTGAGAATCGCTTGGAAATGTATTTGCTTCAGGGCGCTAACTCATTCTTAATGAGATGCAGTGCGGTCAGCTCCCTTTAGATATACTTATGTACAACAATGGAATATACAGCTATTATATGTACTTTTTAATAGATATATGAATGTAATTCCATGCACACAATAAAGAACAATATACTGTGTGTTATATACTTTAAGAACATTCAATTGAGAATGAAAGAACGTATGCCCCACTTCGGTTCTATTTATAATCATTCAGTTTTTCTGAAACTAAAATACAGAAAACAACACTATAAAATCGATAATACCCTGTTGGTCCACAAAGAAAAAATATCACCAGTAATACCACGAGTAAGTGTTTATATGTCCAGTTATTTTTATAAGTTGTTGCTCTTGAACACCAACGCATAAATGGGGAAGTATAAATTGAACACCGTATTCGGATGCTTCACCAAATCGTTTCTCAATTCCGTACACTTTTTGACTAAGACAATGGAAAGGCGCGCTCAGATGTAAATAAACACAGAGATCGATTCATGCCGCCTTCTGAGATGGACGAAACGCAGGAAATGATTGGGAACTGAGGAGCATGTGTTAAGACAAGCCAATAAGAAAAACTGATAATTCTTTTGTGCAACGCTGCTGTCATTTGCCCATATTATGTCTTAAACACTATTGGTCGCAATTTAAGGAGTGGAACAGGCTAACAGCCGAACGATTCACCACATGTCACGACCAGATTCTAAAGCTGCTTAAATTTTCTTTATCACGACTAGTTTCTAGTTTCTAGGGTCTTCATAATTAGTGTAGGGTGAGTGTACAGTCTAAAACGATAGGAGGAACCACTACATTTCTGGGCTCAATGTCACATCAAACATCCTTTTTACTTACACATTTTACTACTTAATAAATAAAACGTACCACAAGGAAAATTAAATTATAACTTCAATGATGGTATCAATAAATACAACTATTTTCATGTTCAAGTACTCTCAGGGTTGCCAAATGTTTTGGAGAGCTTCTTCCCAAAATATCTTGGATTTTTTTTCCAATGCGTCAACTTAAAAAGGGGAGAATAATATTTAACCATACAGTGTCTCAGCCAGACCTAGCTGACTCGTTAATGTCGAAGTCGAGATCTTGGCACCGGAAACAAAGCAGGAAGCAAGAAGCGATGAATTCTTAGGCTCAACCAGAACAGAACAAGCTACATCACGATCAACAAGCAGAGTCGCTGCACGGGTGAAAGTACAGTCGGTAGCAATCGAAATGATTGATTAGTGAATCCTAGCCCGTCAATAGCTAGGTTTATTAGTCCCGTAAGCGTAGTGCTTGGTTTTATTGCGGGAGATAGTGGTGATTTTCCTCAGCTGGATGGCGAGATCAGACACCAAACTACATTGGCTTGCGGGGATTTTCCTCAACCAGGTATCACTCACTAGCACCACTGGCACCACTCCAGCCGGAACAAACTCTACGCTCCCGACTAGGCTCCCTGAAAATGTAGCAGTGTAGTGCATGAGAGTGGAGGATAATGTTTACGTACGAGGTGAGGACAGGAGAAGAGGAAAGAAATATCGGCTCGTGGTACGTTTGTTAGGATACTGCTACGGCATTCGTCTGGTATTGATCGGAGAAACCAAGGAAAGTCACCGATCAGAGCAGCCGTCCACTAAAGTTCTTCTCCAGACAGCGGCTGGACCTGACCTAGCTAACTAGTTAGTGCCGAAGCCGAGATCAAGAATCCGCCGGTTCAACCAGAACAGAAAGCGCTACACCACGCCCAACACGGGCACCAGCTGCACGGGTGAACGCGCAGACGGCAGCAGCGGAGCGTGTGGGCGCCTAGCGGGGCCGGAATGGTGGCAAAAGCGGCGCCGAGGGGGGGGTGTCATCCGAGGCGACAGCGACGCGAGTTGCCTGCGCCGGGCAGAGCGGGTGCGAGGTGTCGCCAGAATTTAATTAAGCGGGGGAGGGACTCGGCGGCTGTGGGGGAGGAATTGCACTTCGCGCAGCATGGGCTGAGACCGCGCCCAGACAGACAGCGCTTCAGGCGGCGGCCACGACGGCGACGACTGCCTCAAGACGACGCACGCGACGGCATCCACTGGTTTGTGGCGGGATGAACGCGGAATAATTTCAACTAGTGGCCTACAAAAATGCTGCCGAACAAAACCGCACGAAATCGTTTTCCACAAACTAGCACGCAGACTGCTTTCAAGAACAACAAATGAGTTTTCTTGATAGAATCCAATAAATTATTTTAACAAAAACATACTTCAGGAGTATTATGATAACATACAATAGAATATATACAGGCAACAGTTCTTTACCTACCAAGAATATCAACAAAGTTGTTCCATAACCTAACCCAAGAACAGCAAATATATAATAAAAAGGCGACATCTTACTGGGGGCGCCTTACTTTCGCACGATATCAGGTGTGTTGTAAACAGGGACGCTTAGAGATGCAAATTCATGAAGTGCGCGCAATAGATTAGTACAATCAAATATTTGTCTTTTTTAGTGAAAATCGACAGTTTCATTGTTTTTGTATCAGACGAATTTCTACAATTCTAATAAAACCATAGAAACTTCTCACCTGGCCGCGAGCTGCGTAGTTTTCTTTCAATTTTTGTGCGCATTGGAAATATACTACTAGATAACAGAGGCAGCTTTTCCATGACACCTGCAGAATCCCTACGTACTCTACTTCTCTGAAATACTTTTTTATAGAGGCGTTTTATCTAGAAAGACTTTTTTTTTTGAATCTCACATAGTCTGTGTTTACTCTTTTAGCGATTAACTCGCGAACGCAACCAGGCGCGCAGCGCTCGAAGAGGCTGCAATTTTAAACGCCTAAACATCTCTCATTGCTGTCCTTCTCAATTACTCAGCTCTAGAGTTCCGAGGAACTGCGATTGCATCACGAACAATCTCGAATCACTGATACAACTGACCTTCCATCCTGAAACGCGCGATCGCAGAGACGAGAGCACGTGTGTTTCACATAGGTTTCTTAACAGTTGTTTCATGTACTGTTTTGGGGATTTGAGTCATCTTGTGTGTAGTGCATTATGCTTTGATGAGACTTAAAAATCTGTGTGAGCAAAGGTGCCTTATTAACTACTGAGATTGAGGAGATAATGCTCGATCGCGTTTTGATAAAGACATACTAAATGAAAGAAACAAGTGACTATGCGAATGTAATCAATTGGATACTAGTTTCTGTTTTCCATACAGTCGTTTTGGTTGGGAAAGTGCGTTGTCAAAGACAGGATTGGAAGGTCTTGAGCATCTCTCCGTGAAAATTGCAAAATACGAGAAACAGATGTCACATTGGAATAACCAAGTTAAATTATCACTTCATGGGACAGAAAACATAAATCATAATTGTATTATGATTATTGGCGTAGAATTCAGAAACACAAGAAAAATATCACCAAAAATAGAAATGATTTATTGAAAATAAAGAAATGCATTAATTTTCTGGAGCGTTTGAATTCGCAAAACAAAATTTAATTGTTGTAATACGAAGAGTCCAATTTCTAATTTCGCACGGTTGCGAACCATCATATTTCCACAAAAGCCGCCACTGCTAGATAATTTCACTATGTAACACACTTCTTGTCGTTGGTAAGAGAGTGTTATTTCGTGCTGCCTTATGTTCCTACATGTTGCGACAATGGGCCTGTTGTTGCCCTTTAGTTGCTGCTTACTACCATTTCTCCTTTTCTCTTCACTCCCTTGCTTCCCTCTCTCAGCCCCTCTTTCTCTCTCTCTCTCTCTCTCTCTCTCTCTCTCTCTGTCTTTCTTTCCCTCTTCCCCTCCCTCTCATCCTTCCTTTACTCTCTTACTCGCTTTCTTCCTCTTCCTCTCTCTCCTCGTCTTTCTCACACCCTTCCTCCTTTTCCTCTCGCTCTTTCTTCCTCTCGCTCTTTCTTCCTCTCGCTCTTTCTTCCTCTCGCTCTTTCTCCCTCACTCCACCTCCCTCACTCCACCTTCCCTCACTCCTTCTCCCTCACTCCTTCTCCCTCACTCCTTCTCCCTCTCTCCCCCTCTCCCCTCTCTCCACACCCTGTGGTCATGCTTCATACCCCCTCTTCACCCTTGTGCGCCGGGCAGCTCTTGGGCTCGCGCTTGGCGAGTGAGCGTGGGGGGCGCCGCGCCGCGCCGAGGGGGCGCTCTTATTGAGGCGCGCACGTCTAATGACGGGGCGTCGCGCCGCCTCAGTTCATGCGCGCCCCTCCGCAGCCCTGAGACCCCCTCCGAGCAGCCCCGCAATGACTCCGCACTTTAACGAACTATTGTGCTGCCGCGCGGCACTGCGCACAGGCAACTGGAATGCTCCAATGTGTCTGCAAATTGTTTGTGTTGATCCTGGAAGCCAAGAATCCAATGATACGTTCAGGGTTAGAGAATTTTAAATTCGAGGAAATTAATGCAGTTGAGAAAATTTCCCTGATGGTGAATCGGTTGATGAGTAGATGATACAACAGAAGCAGAATAAAAAGAGTGTGGGATGAGAGGTTGTCCTTAACACATCAGATATGGAACATACGTGAGTCCTAAAATCCTGTACTGATGTTCGTTTTGCTCAAATAACTCAGAATTTTTGTCTAACCTTGAACTGAGTGTTCAATTGTTTTATGTAGAAAGATGAACATATTCTCAGAAGTCGAAGCCATTTCTAGGCATTACATATTTCCCCAAACGAGACTACACCCTACATTCTCCTGAATGGCAATTAGTGTTAAGATAATACAGGAAGACATTATGATTGAAGTTAGAAAAAATTACCAGATTTAGCAATACATACATCTGAATGATATTTTTGAACTCAAAATCCAAATACCTTTATTGGTTAGTACTTCCTTCTCACTTTCCACGTTTTATTAATTTGTGTACGTAAAAAAACACAAATAATGTGACGAGAAGCAATAG